GCGAATACATAATTCATACAGCTGTCCACCGTTTGGTCATTTGTACAATTTTTTCACAAGCTCGCGTTGTGCCACACTCTAGCAAAACAAATTCTAGTATAAATATCTACCACTATTCCTACCACTTTCTACATACATATTATTATTTATGGTATGCATGAACATATCGAGAAAACTATTGAGGAAAGTCCGGTTACAAAAATTTCTGGCTTATGACGCGTCAGACGATGCATAGCCAACAAGATAAAAAGTCGGCTTTTTATGAATTGAAAGACAGTTTAAATATTTGAGAAGTTGGCTCCAAAACGGTGAATTTGCATTTTATTATTTCCTCAACAATCAAAAAACTGTTGATATGTTAAAGAAGATCAGATCATATCGCTCGCAAGCGTAATGAGTTTTTAGCAAGAAAACTAGACTTCGATATAATCAAGCAAAAATGAACCAATATGGAGCATGACATAGATAAATATCGTTAACGAGAAGCTTGTGTGAATGTAGCTTGCCAAAATTTGCTTTTTCTGCTTTTTCTTATCAAGCACTTTCTGAATAAAGTTATTGAAAAGAAATTTAATAGCTTTGACTATTAAAATTAATTAATTAACATATAGACAACTTTGTTATACTATTCAAAAACTTTGTTAAATATTAAAAAAATAACCTTTTTAATTTATAATTTTAATTAATAATTAATAATTTTATTCAATCATTAAAGTTTTGTTCTTTATACATTTTAAGCTTAATAAAATAATAAAAAGAATACATCGAGAAATTACATTAAATCCGAATGATATTCCGAATAAATCTTCATATAATTTATTTCAAGAGCGTAATTTAAAAGCTAAATTTTTTTTATTACTACTTGTATTTTACTGTTACTTTATAACTAACTATGATATCATAGCAAGATGTCATTACACATTTCACGAAATAAAATTATTTAATTCATTCACAAATGTCATAAATTAAATATCTCAAATTCATAAGAATAAAATTTTATTGTTTATTCAAAAAAATAGAAAAGTAATATTACAACCAGAACAATTCGATTGCTTTGTAAAATGAAACGTCTAAATAACGTAATATTCTATAAATTATACTTTATATCTTTCGTAATTTCTTACAATTACTAAAAAGCCGAAAACTGGTACTAGTCCCGTGCGACCCGAGGTTACGAAGGTCGATTCAAGTTTAGTTTCAATGGCGCCAATATGTTGGAATCAGTTCCTAAAAATTATGCCAAACGTAGTTTACGTCGTCTAAACAAACTTGTACGAATATGTATACGTCACTCGAAATTTAGATTGCTCAATTAACATATAAATCGTATCCCGATAGTATCACGATGACACTTGATCTGAAATAAGGATTACGTCACAAGAATCATGATTCTAACCGGTTATTTTAATATTTATTCAAAAATATTTATAGAAACTTTGTACGTGTGTGTTAATCTCCCATATATAAAAATTTATAATATATGCTCTCAAAAAATAAATTCAATTTTAAAGTACACTTTGTTAAACATTTATTATTCAGTCTTCAAAAATCAGATTATACTTTCCTCACTCATCTATCATTTCATAAAGATTAAAAATGTAATCTATTGATGAATTATATTACTTTGTAAAGAAATATTTCATTTTTTAATGTTGTCAATCTACAAATCGCTTGACCTGAATTCTATTTCATGCGAAGTAACTTTGTCTTTTATCCTATTTTCATTTTGTACTTTTCTTTTCTACAATACTGTTTAGCATTTTGACTCACAAATGAAAATAAGAAAGTGTTAATTAGAAAAGCAAAAATAATTTACATTAACTTAAAATCTTTATTACAAAGAAAATATGTTTGTAAAATAGAAAAACGTACTTTTTTCTAAAAAAAACAGCTAGAAATTCATCATAATTAATAAAAATTATTAATTTTCTTAATAGCATTATTGTTATGACATGGTGTACACATTCCATTATCAGAGTTGTGAATAATGTAAAATGTTACAGAGCAGGCTTGCTGACCAGCAAGAAATTTATACGCAATATTTGATTGCATTAATTTTATCAAAAAATAGCAATGATCAGCATGTTGTCAAATAGAAACCGATCATTAATTAATCAAATATGTCTTAATATGATAATTATTGGTATCAAATGACTTCTAAAAGTTTTAATAGAATTACTATTTGCAAATGAAATTAAACATTTTTAAATTTATAAATAATTAATTTCTTTATAAATATAAAGAATATGTTAGTTAATATTTATTCAATTGTCTTAAAAATTTTTTTTTATTTAATGATGCGAGAAAAACTAGTTTATTATAACCAGCCAAATTTATTTCAGGAAACTTTCATATGTAAATAGAAATTAAATTTCTAACGATATAATCTATTACGTTTTGTATAGGAATATAATTTAAGGATTAAAATCGACACAGGTTGCGATTCAGCAAGAAGAATCGATTTTAAGATTAAAGATTACTGTATGATATCCCGTGAGTTTGAATTACAGATCGCAGCAGACAAACAAAGGACAGCCCTATTTACCATAGAAAATATTAAAGTCGTTTTGTCGATGTCATCGTCATCAATAAATCATACTATCGACGTGGCTTGCTGTCGGTCGGAATTGAAATCCGAGATCGGCAATATAGCTAGGTTGCTATTATTCGCAGTCGGAATTGTAATTGCTATCTGAACTTGGTCGACTCGATCTCGCATGGCCGACTGCAATCTGTCGTTGAGCTCGGCCTCCACGAGTAGACTAAGTTTCCGCAAGGGCACGACATCGATATCTCTGCGTCATCGTAAAATACGGAACAAATACACGAGTGAATTTTTTTCCACAGCAAGAGGGAGAGCGAGAGCCACATTGGTTTCTCTGGATCGCAATCCTCAAAACTAGTGCCTCCAACGTAACATCGCGTAAATCACGGCCGTTCTCCCAATTTATGCTCCCGATAGAACGGGACTTCTCTTACCGCCTAGCTATAAAATTTGAATAAAGCCATTCGTAAATTGAGCGCAGGCCTTCTCGCTCCCGACTCAACGCATTCAACCAGAAGCAAGGGCGAGGGTGTAAGAAGCACGCTTTGAGAGTCTAAGAAGATTAGTCAACTGGAGAGTGACTATCCGTATAGAGAAGCAAATGTATTCGCGAGCGTTGGTCCAAGTGATAAGACCAAGGATAGGAAAAAAACTCTCGGATGCGATGATAACGGAAATGCATATCCAGAGTGGAACACGCACTGCGTAGAAGCCACTCCTCTCAGGACCGTTGCCGTGTCTGGTTCCACGAACGAAAACTGGGTCACCGGCCACGTACACTCGTACTCTCGTACGAGCTCGAAGCTAGGAGTTTCGTGTGCGCGCACGCGCGCGTACACGTGTAAGTGGCCGCGAATCTACGTGTATACACATTTCGCCACCAGTTCTCACCCCGTGGCACGTCCGGGACGCGACGTCAATCCTCATGCGTCCGGGAAGGGCACCGCGGCGCGTGGTACGAACGGGGACAGACGAGTCCTCGATAAAATTCCTGCCACGATATCGCTCAGTAAAGTCAGGATCGAAATCAAACTTTCGAAACTGAATTTAAAATGATAATTAAATGCCGTCCCGAATTTTCAATAATAGCATCTCGTGACTAGTACGAATCTGCACGGAATAGTTTTAATCGGTACATCCCTCTGTTCTGTCTTTCCTCTGCCCCCACAATCGATATTCTTGTCAGATTTTCTTCATAATCAATTCGTATCTCTTCCAATGTATAGTCTATTTAATCAATCGAATCATATTTAATTTTTTGAAAATATGATTTAGCATTTCAGCGATAGTATTATCAAAATTGTTAAATGTGGCTTTGTTGCGAGTAAACTTTTAAATCGGGAAATTATTTCTTGGATTAAAGTTATTCTTACTTTTATTATATTAGATATAATAAAATATCTTTTATTATATTAGATAGCAATTATAAATTTAAGATAATTTGTGGGCATCGTTATATTAAATTATCTCAGAACTTCGATATAAATTATAAACGTTATTCTATTTTCACAAAATAATTTTAAGATTATTTTCATATTTAATAAATTATTCAAATGATTTGAAAATTGCAAGAATGTGATGTATGACTAACTCTCTTCCTCTGAGAAAGAATTTCTCATAGTATTTATCAACACAGTGAAATCATACTTGATACTTTTCGTGTTATATATAGTGTTGTATATTTACTCTTGAATAATAATATGTATATATAAATAATGCGCATATTCGTTATTACATCTAAAATTAACAAAAATTATTATTTTTATAATATTTTTACTTTTAAGACATATAAATCATTTGTTTATTAATATTACAAATGCTTTTAATAATTAAATGTTAAGAACTATCAATATAATTTTTTGTTGTAATTGAAGCAAAATGAATAAAAGTCAAGAAAATTATTTAATAATATAAGTATTATTGAATGAGAATGTTTTGCTTGTCTCTTGTGTTAATTAATATTAGAAGAAAATGATAACTTTTGAAATTAAAATATATTACACGAATAATAAAATAGTACGAATACAATAAATTTATAGAAGAAAATACGTATAAAAAAATGATAACCCCCCCCCCCCCCCCCACACACACACACACACACACACACACACACACACACACACACACACACACACCACATATACACTATAGTAAAATTATTTCTGTTAATAAGTTGTTTTCAATTATATCACAAATATTTATTCAGTATCATGATAATCTTTAATAAAATTGGTTCATGAATGAAGAGTGCACGCGCAGCTTATAAGTCACATTATTATGTAAAATTAATTTAATTGTATAAATTAATTTATCTTTAAAATTGATAATCAATGTATAAATATTATTGGTAACATATTATTTGTGAAAGCTTTTATGTAGCAATTATAACCTTGTTCATTGTCGTAACGATCATATAAACAATAACATGTGAAACAATAAAAAAAGGCAATCTTACCAGGATACGTCCAGTGGTGGTCTGTCCGGAAATCAGCTCGCCGGCCCAGTCCTTGGCCTCGGTCATAAAAGTTCCCTCGAACTCCTTGCCCTGACGGGCTGTCTTCTGCTCCTTCTGCTTCGGGTCATTTGGGGAAAGCTCGGGCTCCTTGCGACAGCAGAGGAAGGCGAACGCACGCCAGAGGAGCACGATCAGCAGCCCGGCGAGGAAGGTGAAGATGCTCGACAGCAGGAAGCACCACCATTTCCGCTCCTTGAGGCAGTCTACCGGGGGCTGCTCGGTCGTCCCTTCGGTCGTCATCCCGGCGGATCTCTGCTGCCCCCGGGTCACACATTCACCGGCGGCTATCACAATCACAAACGGCAGCTGCGGCGGCCAGTAGGGCACACTTTATGCGCTTCATAATTTCGCGCCGCCTCCGAGGGATGCGCGACACGCGCTAGGAAGGACCTGTACGCGGCCCGCTTCCGCGTCCTCGCGGTACACAGCTACCACGAGCCTCTTCTTTCCTTTTTTCTTCTTATGAGTGCGCGTTCTGATCGAACAGAAGATCAGCGAATCTCTTCCTCTTTTTCTCCGTTCTCTCCTGCCACGCACACTCGTTGGCACCCCGAGCTCGTTTTCCTCTCTCTCTCGCGCGCGCGTGCACTCTCACCCTCTCAAGTTCTCACTCTTTCTCTCTCTCTCGCCCTTTCTCTCTCTCTTCTTTCGCTCTCTCTCTCTCTCTCTCTCTCTCTCTCTCTCTCTCTCTCTCTCTCTCTCTCTCTCTCTCTCTCTCTCTCTCTCTCTCTCTCTCTCTCTCTCTCTCTCTCTCTCTCTCTCTCTCTCGCGTTCTTCTTCTCCCTCTTCTCTCCCTCTCTTACTTCTCTTTTTTTATCACCCTTATACACTCGTTTCTTCGATTTGTCTAATAATGTTCGTACTATCTGTTTGTTTCAAAAATGTCTTTCTCAAGCGTCTTCAAAGATCACTCGATGATTTGGCAGATGCACTACTGTTCGATTTACGATTCGCCACTCTCGCCACTCGAATCTACCCCGACGCGAGTATACACGTCAATGTTTTCGCTGGACACGCGAGACTCGCCGAGTTCCAAATTCGGCGTCCTTGTCCTTGGCGAAAGCGCTTTAATTTCCTGTCCACGCAGCTATCACGGTACGCGCAGTAACCAGCCGCGGATATTCTGACCTGATGGCCTGAGAGGCTTGCGCTGCGTTGATTCGTTTTCACCACCCTCGGCGGCAGCCGCTGCCGCCGCCGCCGCTGATGTCGCAGGTGCGTATTGCTTCCAGACAGAGTCCGTGGTCGAAGGGGATGTTCTCGAAGCAACGAAGAATAGACAGAAGAAACAATTCACTGAACACCGCGTGTCACATACGCGCGCTCATACGAGTACACAAGTACGGAAGTATTCCGTTTCCTGCTGTTATATTATACGTATTATTACGTATGCTCTCTCTTTCTCTCTCTTTTTCTTGTATTTATTTTTATTTATATATAATTATATCTTCTTTGTTTTTTTATAGTGCGCGCGTGAACGGTACGGATGTAGCAAGCGCGGCTCGCGATCGCGTACACAAATGAAACACGAGCGGACGATGCACGATAATTATACGGACGATTGTATCATTTTTCCTCTTTTTTTTCCCTCTTTTTTTCCTCTCTTTTATATCTGCAACCGCGCGCGCCCGCTTCTCTTAACCTAATCGGCTGAGCACTACCGACGGCGACGGCGACGACGACGACGACGACGACGACGACGAGGACGACCGAGTGTCCCAACTATACCACTGCTCCGCAGCAATCAATACGCAACAATGGACCAGGACCAATAAGCTCAGAGCTTTTCCTGACGTAGACGCACGCTCTCTCGCTCTTAGCCTATCCCCTACCACCCCACACGCGGCCAATTTAGTACGAGCGCGATGGGGGCGCTTGTGGGGGCGTCGCGTGCGGCTGCGCTAAAACGGGTACAACTACTTACGAGCGCATTTGGGGGTTGCTTGCGTGGAATATAACACGGATGTGCGCGCCATTATTTAACTAAAATTTCATCATACATATTTTTCTTTAAAAAATTCTAATCAACTTCTAAGATTCTGTTATCAGAAATTATTGCATCAGTACAAGGAATAAAATATACATATATGTTTATCGAAATAAAATGTTTTAAAACAAATAGCACCTTATGAAGTTAAAAATATGATTATAATTCAAGAATCAATTTCCCATTAACTTACATAAGAATGTCATACATACGCAAACTGATTGCACTTATGATGAATATACTATTATAAACTATAATTCTAATATATATACATACGCTTCTATAAATTAAAAAGTATGTTTTTTTCTTACATATATAAATTGTAAAAACTGTTGTTAATTTTAAATTAAGCAAATTTGACTACATTTTAAACATTTTTTTAATGATATATTATACATTTTTTATTTTCAACTTTTCTGATTTTGTAATGTCTATTGATTTATGGACATATATCACAATTTAGTATATAAAATTTAGTATATAGTATATAACTTGACGCTTGAAACTATATCTATATCTATGTCTTTTGATAATATCAAATATATCTTTATACTTTTAAGTAATTAAATAAAAGTCGAATTTATTTTCTCTATTTTCCAAAGACTCAATTTTAACTAAAATAGTAAATTTTTGTACTAAACATTTAGCAGTAGCGTCATCTGTAACAAACAGATATAACGAAGTAACATTTCGATAATATTGGCAACTGTATTGTGTCAAATGGAAAAGTTAATGCCAAAAGACAAGTTATTTTGAAAAAAACTGTTCAAGTAACAATAATTATTTCTCCTAGGATTTGAAATATTTGTAAATAAACAATTTGTAAATAAATAATTAAAATTTGGATAAGAAATTTTAATTTAAGTTTAAAATTATATTAATTTACACTTATTCATTTTACCTTCTTTTTAAGTTAAATGTTTTGCAACTGTTATAATTTACACATAATTAACAAGTTATTTTATGTATGACACATGATATTTCCCAAACATTTTCAGAATTTACATATGCTAGAAGGCTATACCAATTATCAGCAATCGAAGTTGTAACATGAACATGCTCCAAAATTGATATACCAACAGTGAAGAAAAGCTTAGGTGGCTATGTAGTTTACATCCACTTTCTCAGTTGGCGTTAGCGCGTAGGAGGATTTTATAATTACAGAAAACATTATTTTAGCAATTATCAGGTTCTTTTCTGATAGTCAATAAACCAGGATCGGAGGGTTCTGTTATACTGGAATAAATCTTTAAAAAATGAGAGTGCTTCATTGAAAAAGATACATATAAAAGATAGCTATACTCGATGGGTTTGCTATCTTCATCAGGAATTCTCGATTGGTTGGACTACTGTAATACCATGGCTAAACACATTGAATTTATGAATTGAATACATTTACAACTTTGAATAAAACAATTTGGAACTATTTTTCTTCTTTTATAATGTGATATTTGAATTAATAAATTAATAAAATGAAAAAAAACAATATTAAGACAATATAAAAACAATATTATTTTAATGTCATTATTTTTACAAATTTTCGAAGATATATGCTTTCAGATAATATAAGCATAAGAAATAGAAAACCTATTAATGTATATTTCTTTTTTTACAATTAGAGCTATAGTATCTATAGGATATTAGAGGAAAAATTCATGTCAGTATAGTAGAATTTTCTGACCAAGTTATGAAACAGAGCGCAGCACCATCGTTTTATTCTCTCTACTACCCCTTATGGCTTTCTTACTTATTGCTAACAATTGCTAATAGCAGCTGGTTGTAATTAGTTGACTTATGGTTTATTAAAAAAGTTCCAAATCTAAAGTGTAATTACAGTTTTGTAGATTAGATAACTTATTCTTCTACTTTTGTCTATAAACCAAGTTTGCAATTAGAGAAAAATTTATAATAAAAACTTTATAAAAATAAACCTATAGATAAATTTATGAACTACCATAATTTTAAAAACTGTTTTTATGTATGACAAAATGTAAATAGCGTTCAAGAAAATTGTGTGAAAGTATCTGTTAAATATACTGAGTGCCAATAATTAATTCAGTTCGAATTCATCTTATAAATTAGTTCAAGAACAACGATTTGAGATTTGTAAAAAGATTAGCACTATACAAATTAATAAATAAGATTTGAAACAATATATATTTAATATTTTTTTATATTTTATATATTTATAGGTATAATAAAGATTTTGATATACTTTTGTTTAAATACCTTTTTATTTAAATATATACTCTTATTTTATAAGGGTTTGTGAATTATTATTTTTGAAGATTTTACAACTTATATATATTTTTTAATATTCCTTGATATATGTATATATTTATTATAATATGTGTATATATATTTTTCCTCATGTATAAAGGAGAATCGTCAAATAATTGATTTTCTATATTCATATATTATGAATTCTTATTCATAGGCATTGCAGTTTTTAATTGCGACGAGGGATTATTTAACATATATTCTGAAATTTATGTACATTTAATAATTTTATGTATTAAACAATATAAAAACAAACTAAACACATTTATAACATTTGTACAATAAATATCTTTCAATAAAAATTTGTGTTCCTTTACTTCTAAATTTTTCTTTTCATCTGCTATCAATTTCTCTTATTATTTCTTTTCAATATTTAATTTCAAATTAATTAGTTTTAATTTTGAAGATTTAAGAATAAAAAAATCAAAATTATATTAAAGAAGATGTCAGATATCGTCCGAAGAAAAATTGAAAAAGTTGAGTATGAAATGACGAATCGTAATAAATAATGTTCACGTTATAGTCATCATAATGGTTATTATGATAAATGTGATATGAGCTTTCATAAAATTTATGATATATTTGATGTATGATATACTTATAAATGTCACGACAAATAGCTTCGTACGTATTGAAAAGCCATAAGTATATCAAATTGACAACAAACGCCATTGTAAAGTGATACCTGTTTGATAGAAATAAAGAGATGCTACTTTGCAGTTATTACCGTGGAAATGACGACAGAATCGTACTATGTGAGTATTATCTAATCTCTATCAAAGATGTGATACGAGCTCTATGATATGATTTAAAAAAGTGCCTTGATTACTTTTTCGTAAAGGAACTACTCGACGAAGCCAACTTTGATCACTAAATTTATTGAAGAGCTGCAGAATATTCTGAAACTCGCAGGAGGACAGTTACTTCTTCACGATTAAGGATTTTCTGGTAATTCTACGGATGAAAGACGGTATGCTCAGCTGTTCTTGTGATAATTTTAGTTTGGCTATTAAACGCTGGGTACTTTAATGCGCGTAGTCGGAGCAGTCACGTCACGTAAACAAAACCGAGCAAAGCCGCATTCTCATAAAGATCATTGTATCCAAATATTTACAGCATTGTCTGCTGAATGTCTCATTACACTCAGTTTTTATATCGACATATAAGTTTTCAACATAAGCTTTGTATTTATAAAAATAAAAAAAACATTAATATTTCTTGTAACTATCGAATGTTTTTTTGTTGCAGCTTACAAAGACGCGGAATTGTCTAATAATTCAATCGCCTATTTTGCTACGGCTAGCAGTTTACTTGCAGCGAGTTCAAGAATAAAACTGAATGAATTCTGCACATTTGGCAACAAACGTATAGACAGATTTGATTGTGTTTTCAAAAATGACATTAAAATTGTTTGAATATCATCATATGATACAGATGTTGTATCTATTTTTTATTAACAATAGAATTTTCACAAAATTTTAGATACTCTTGATATATTTTTGTAATAGATTTTTCCTTCCAGATATATTTACTAAATAAAAAAAGTCGAAAATATGATGCTGAACGTTATTCAATGTTTAATATCAAGTGAAATTCATATTATCTAATTTTGATCAATAAAACAGCGTGTTATTCTATTAATCATACAAGTCAATTGCTATTATATTTCTAAACACGAGCACACTGACAGCCGAATAAACCATGTATAGATAAATTTTATGTGATACACAACAGTAACATTGTGATAAACCTATGTCCCTGTTGCATTATAATTTTTTATTCTGAAATCAAATATTACAAAAAAAAGATAGATCCATATTTCTTCTCTTTCTTTTTTCTTTTTCTCTGGCTTTTTTTCAAGACCCACGAGGAGAGTGTTTCACAAAACATCATGCCGCAAATTATGCCAGCCACTTGAAATGATCGAACAGCGAACGCGGAACGCATGGTTAAATTTCTATTTTCGGTCACGCACGCGGAGTCGATTAAGGCTGATGATGGCGCGTTTGTAATCTCCAACGAGCTTGATCGTTTCCGGACACACCGCTGACTTTAATCACGTATCCAGTATCCGGCAGTTGATTATTGCCTTGTCGTTTTCCCGTTCGAGAAATTGTGTAATGGCGCGATACACGCGCGGCCAGCTCCTTCTTTGTTTTACAACTTTTCGAATAAAAATAGAAGCGCATAGGGAGTCCGTCTCAGCAAGCACTACGATGTTTCTCGTATGACTTTGTCGTACCTACGAAGTTTCCGCTGAAGAATTAACTCTGGAAAATGAAAAATTGTTATCTTCTCAGTTGTGCCGATATTAACACACTGTTTTATGCACATTTATATTAAACTTGTATTGCAATGAGAGTAAAACTTAACTTATATTATAAAATATTACTTGCCTCTTTTGAAACTCTTGATATATAAAAATATATATCATTAAATATTCTTAAATGAATAATTTTAAATAAAATTGAAATGTAAATACATGCCATTATAATATATATTCACAGATTAAATATATTAACGATTAAATATATATTTATTACATAAATATATATTACAGATAATTGATCAATAATATTAAATATTATTTATCAGATTTTATCATTATCACTACATATTTTTCGGAAAGAAATAAAGTAACTGTGATCATTTCTATTTTTGATACATTATTTTCGACGGAGTTTTTTTCAGCACATGGAAAATACTTGAAAAATATTTTTTCTGGACATTGCTATTCTTGAAACACTTGAATTTTAATGCTGTGAAAATCGTCGTGATATCTTATCACTTTTAAGCAATCTTTCAACAATGTTGTCATCCATCAAATACACCCTTGTTATCACTCCCTTTCTCCCTTTTCTTTCACCCTATTACTCAAATGCGATCCAAAGGAAGGAACTTCTCTTTCGCTGAACTTATCTTTCACTCGATTGTCTTTTGCGCCCTATGCCGAAGAGACGTTGACGCGGATCACGTAGTAATCTCCAAATCATCAATTAGCCGAGCGTCGATACGGGTGGAGTTCGGAGTGAGATAGCATCTTCCGGGAAAATGGTAGCGAGAAAGAGACACAAGTGTCATTTGATTGACGTCGAAAGTGAAAGCGAGAATCTCAAGGACTTCGTCAGATCCTCTCCAGTCACCTCTCCATCCCTCTATCTTCCTCTCTTTTCCTCCGTCTTGTCCGCCTCGAGTACCAGCTATGAAGGTGTTCCTTGGTCGACTGCGGGGCAAAGGAGTAAGACGAGGAAGAGCAGAAGAGGAGGAAGAGGAGGAGAAAATGATGCGCGAGGCCGGGAAACGAGAGAAGAGGTGGGAAAGAGTAGAAAGATCTCTCCGGATTTTCTCTCCGGGGGAGGATGTTGGAGGTCGCGAGACGCGGATGAGGCGAGGGACATGCACCGGGGGTCGCGCATGCGTCTGCCGTCGTCGGCGGAGGGTGTTCGACGTTTTTTTTCAGTCACCGGTCGACGATGCGCCGGGCACCGTCGTCGTCGTGAACCACGGCCGCGATCGCGCGGCGTTCAGCTGCTAGCTACCACCACCGCATCCTACATCCGCGCTCGAGACTCGCCTCGCGGAGCGACAACAGCCTACGCTAGTGGCCGCGTGTTCGCGCGACCGACGTCGCGGTCGATAGACCCGCGCCTGATAAAAGAGGAGATACAGCCAAGTGGAGGATACCCGGAAGAAGAGAAGGTGGAGGAGGAAGAAGAGGTGATGGTGATGATCGTGCTGGTGGTGGTGAGGTGAATTAATTCTAGGCCACGCGCTTCACGTGCTTCTCTTCCAAGACCTGAGACTCGTCGGAAGCTCTTCTCCCGAGAAGGATCTCGCGTATCCTCTGCATTGTGTGACCTCGTGGCGAAGATCGCGGCGCTACCATCCTCTGGGGACACCGCGATATCGGGGCAAGGTTATTGCGCGCTCGCCACCTCCCCAGGTGAGAAGCGCAGGTGAGAGGAATTACCGGGCAGGCGCGTCGAGAGATGCACGGCAACTCCGCACTTGGGTCCGTTACCTCTTCGGCTCCGGTGTAAGATGCGATCGGCAGGCATCCGCTCGCAACGTCGATCGCGACAGTGCGGAGCAACGCGCGTCGATCGTTGGGATTAAAACACGTTCGGATACATCGCGAACATCGGAATATTCGTCGCTGTATTCCGCAACGGAAAGATTGGCGTACGAGATCGAGATCGAGAGCGCTAAGCATCCCCGATGACGCCGTCGGGAACAACCGATCGTTCGCGCGATTAGTCGAACAGCGTGCGTGCGGGGAAAAAAGACCGAATGCACAGCAAGATCGGGCAATGAGAATCTCTTCCCGAACCGTCGAGGAGTCCCGGAACCTCACACAGCCCCGGGCGCCGAGGAGGCCACGACATCGTTGAAGGCCTCCGTAATCGCCAAAGAAACGCCGCGTTCGCGAGAGAGAGGCACTCGAGGGACTCGAGGATGTCGCTGCACTATCCTCAGGGATACCGGTACCGATCCGCGTCGAAGGCGGTCAGCGGGGTCGGGGTCGGCGAGCAAAGCTCCGACAGCGACGTGGCGGAGCTCAGCGACCTCGAGGATGACGAAGACGAGGATGGGGTTCGCGAGTCCGCCGTTAGGCGAGCAGTCGAAGAGGAGGACGACGAAGATCATGAAAACGACGTGGACGACGATGACGAGGAAGATGACGACGAGGATGACGAGGATGATGACGATGAGGACGAGGAGGAGGAAGGCGAGGGTCTACCCTATCCAGGCTTCATTCCGATCGCTCTCAGATATCTCGACCAGACCACACGACCGCGCAACTGGTGTCTCGCGCTGATTACTAATCCATATCCTTTTACTTCTCGACTGGTATAGTAAACTCTACTTTGTAGTACGTACCTCGATCTACATGTATGATCTCGCTTACGTTGCGCTTCAACGACATAAAAATTTAAAACATTTCTAAAAATTATTTATAATAATTTTATAATACTTATACAGTAATTCTACAAAAGGAAATTAGAATTTTTTTTATATATTTTTATATATTTTTAGGTATTAAAAATGTCTACGAGATTGAAATTCGCTGATTTTTGAAAAATATATCTAGAAGATTAGGATATATTTTTACGATATTAAAAGAACTATGACGAATTAGAATATTTTTTGGACATTTTCATAAAGTTAAAGTAGATATTAATAATTAGAAAATTTCTTAGATGTTTTCTCTTGACGTTCATATTGTTTGTAATATATTTTATAGACCTAACAAATCGTTTTCCAAAACAGAATTAGAACCGATTATTGGATATCGAGTTTATGATAGCTTTTGTGAGGAACATCTTTGTGTACATTTTACGAATACATATTCGCTTTTCATGGTCGTGGTAAACTGATGCGAACTGTTCCAGTCGATCTTCATTAGGAATTTATTTCATCTTTCTGACTACACAAGGTTGCGCGTGCGTCAGCATTTGCCGTAGCTATCAGGATTTGTTGATTTTCCTAAGTCCTTGTGCAATGTGTAATATATTATCAAATAAAATTAGGTGTAATGTGATGTGTATCAAGGTATTCATATTCAGTTGAACAAATTATTAATATCAATTTTTATATATTTACGGAATGTGTGATGAGTTTAATTTGATCTTAATAAATCAATCGCGGCGTAATAATGTATATTAATGAATTTACAGGTAATGTTAATATTATTTATATCGATATTTTTAATATTTTAAATTGATAAAGAGAATTGCGTATAAAATCATAAAGATATAAATTAAAATGGAAAATAATTATGCACTCCTTCCGACATTTAATTGAATATTTGCATTATATTTGACATAACACAACAATCGAGAACTAATTTCATAAACTGGAATTTATCTTTTAAGAACATTAAAACCAAATTAAAAAATATACTAATTCTATTTATATATAAAAATTTTATATTATATGTAAAAATTAGAGTTGAGGGAAATCTTTAAAAAATTATTAAAAAATTATTTCTCAAAAGATAATTATGACTATAACCAGCATATAAAAATTCAAAGACTTGATTAATATATTCTAAAGGCGATTAATCATTTCTTTTCCCAATGATGCTTCCTGAAAACTTTTCGCTTGATCGTTCTGTTTTCGCGCGACATCTTTAACTTATGGAACTTCTGACGACCTAAGATTACGCGACACTTCCGTTTCATTTGTTGAATGTGGGATCCATCGGGCGAATATTTGTCATCGCGAGTAGCCCCGATCGAGTGTGGCAAACGCGGTGGAGGATGCCGAGGGAGATCGGTCTAAAGACGCCTTAAATAGGTCATTGATTGACCTATCCCCAGGCGAATCCTACTGCGCGCGTAGCCGTTTTCCACAGTGGCATAGTTCTCTCCTATCTTGCTCCTCTCAGCACAGCGACGACCGCGGCGGCGGCAGCGGCGGCGGCGGCGGCGGCGGCGGCGGCGGCGGCGACGACGGTGATGGCGGTTCTCGTTTTTCTTCTCCGCACAGTGGCGTTCCCATTCTCCTTCTCGTCGCGCGTTTTCCTCACCCTCCCTCACCCTCCCGCTCGATCCCTCCTCCAGTTTCTCGGCGCGTACGCGGCTGGAGCGCCTATATCCGTTTGTGCGGGAAATTACTGGGGGCGTGCGGCAGGACGTGCACCGCACGTGGTGAGGCAGCAGCGACGTCCGGGCAAAGTTTAGTCAGCCGACCATCGGAGCAACAAGCGCCGAGGGAAACGCGCCGCGCGCCAGAAAGATCTCCATTGTGCGCGCGAGGACAATGGGCGCGGGTTGGAGCACACCGAATGCGAATGCGGACCTCGAGCCTATTTCGCGTCGCCGCTGCAAAACCGTCGTTATTCACGTCGCTCTCTTACCCCGCCGTAGTTGCATTTTATGGCGGCTCATCATCGAAAACGAGATCCCAGCAATCGGACACAAATCACCGGATTTCCCATGGGAAATCTTTGGATATACCGAGGTGTCTCTCAATTCGATATTCCTTGCTGTAAAGACTCTAATAAATTTCTATTTATTGCACACACATTTTCTTACTCTTTTGGGGCTAAGTTACGAGGGTGCCTATATCGAAACGAAAACACAGCAGCGGGATCGAGACTGGATGGGTCAATTTTGAAAGTTTTAAGATATATTTCATACAAGAGATATTTATGTCAAAACGGCCTTGACCCTTGACCCATCGATGTTTAATCTTCGCAAAACCAAGGGCGGGCTAGGGAACGTCAAACTGTATTTTTCCTTGAACTACATGCTGTAATTGTAGCGTATAACTTTCAGAAACTTATGTTCTCTCTTCTAGTAAAGAATCTATTCAAGTAAATCTAATTTCAACGAAATAAACGTGTGCCTTTATTTGCGTGTGATCTAATATTTATTTAACTATAATCTAATATTTATGTAACTGTAATCTAATATTTATTGTTATTTATAATAATGTACTTTATATTCATACTTTATATAAAATATATCAACACCTAGGATGAATTTAATTTAGACTCAATAATTCAACTGTAGATTAATAAATATAGTTAATACTTTTTTCACATCGATATCTTCAAATAGATCGAGAGAATTATATATAAAATTGTAAAAATATGAACTGAAGTAAAAACTAATTATACACCTTTTCTAGTGTTTAATTAAATATTTGTAATATCGTCAAATTTAATTTTTAATTAAATTTAATTTGCTATTATAATCACTAATTAACGCCAAGTTATAAACAGGTTAGATTTTATCTTCAGAATCAGAATAAAGAAAGATATACTTATTTTATGGAAAAGAGATGAAAAGCTCTTTATCTCTTTTAAAAGAGATCATTTTTTAAGATAAAATTATAATATGTAATGAATAAAAGTTTAAAGATTTAACTATTGATTAATGGTTTCTAAAGATTAATTACTTTTGTGCATGAATAATTGATTTGCTTTTATAACTTATTGCACAGTTTAGAACATCTTTATTTTATAATACTTCTGAGTCCAGTTTCTAAGTATTAAAAGACACGACTCAAAAATTGCATCAATCAGAACGTCATCGCAATTCTTTTAGTTTATCGAAATCTGTAATCCGCGGAAATACTATACTTCCGGTGCTATACTAGTTGTTTTGTCTAAAAGATAAATGTGAGATTACATGATTCAGGTTACATGAAATGGTTACCATTAACTTGAAAAACAGCCATCTCTCTGTTCCAATTTGATACTTTACTTCATTATCTTAAGTACTATAAAACGACCAAGCAATTATTTACGATTTAATCTGATTACAGGTATCTCTTCCACCTTTAATTAATTTGTACAATGCTAATTTATGCAGTTATTTATTTATTTATTTATGCAGTTATTTCGTTTCAAGTTACAAAGTTAATTAATTTTAATATAGCCAGGAAATATTGCGCAACCAAATTATTTCTCTTTTTTAATAACTTTGTTCTCTATTATATCTCTTTCTCGATTTAAAAATTTTTATAAATGTACGATTCCTTTTGGAATTAGCGAAATATGTTATAAAAGAAGAATTTGCTTTTCCGAACTGACTACTGAATGTATATACTTTGACTATTTGTCGCTCATGTAATACTCTGACGCACAATTATATTACTTTACTATATTGCTTACATTGCAAACTATCGACTGTTTCAATTGCATTTATCTTACTTTTTGTTTTTATTTAATTTTCAGTAAAGCAGCAGATCAAGCTATACAATTATTTGCAAAAATATTCCACTAACAATAAATGTGCAGTTTTTATGAGAATTTGATTGCATCTCACACACACACATGCATACACAAAATTGGAACATTGTTTTATATATATATATATATATATATATATATATATATATATATATTGACATATAAATATGTCTGGTTCACTTTTATCGATTTGATGAATATTTATTAGTTTAAATATGATTCTTGGAATCATCAAATTTAGAATGGGAGAAACTTAATAATATAATACTAAATAAGTATTAAAATATTTATAGAAAGAAACCATCTCTTCCTTAAATACGTTGGAAAATAGATACCGAACATCAAAAATGAATAAAAATGTATTAAATCTATGACTCTAAGATAAAATCCTAAAAAAGAAAAATATAATGAAAAAAGATATATGTCAGGATGTCATGTGTAGGAGATTATAGGAGATATTTGTAGGGTGTCTGTCGCTATAATAATAACCGTTACATTAGTATAAGTGTCAACTTTATATAGCACAAAATTATGGTTTTGTGGTGAGCAATGCGATACTGCGGCCATAATCGAAAGCACTTGATCGAATGATAGGTCCTCGTCACAGAAATGACCCATCGATCTCCCGGCATTTTTGCGTGTTTCTTCACCTCCTTTTGTTACATCTTTTTGATTCGTTATCGATCGAACGACGAATACGACGGGTGCAGGGTCAGGATGGTTGTAGGACCGGAGAAAAATAATCGAGTGACTAAAGCGATGTAAACGAGGCAATCATCCGCGGCCTCGAACGCTGTCGGAAGCAGCAGTCGATCGAAACAATTTGCTCGGCCGCCTCGGCCGCTTGATTGTCTATTAAGCGTCGCGTAAATGAGCACCGATGAGAGCGAGAGGCGTCGATGAGAAACAGGTTGACGGGCCATCATCAACCGATCGACACATAACTGGCGCGCACATAAAAATCGATCGTCTGTAGTATCGCGAGAGGTTTATCGGCATTTTGTGCATGGGTGTGTGTGTGGTGGGGGGGAGGGGTGGTGATGTGTGTGTGTGTGTGTGTGTGTGTGTGTGTGTGTGTTTATGCAAAATAAGATACAAAATATCATTAGTTACCATCGACAGGAA